CAACTCTTAAATTATTACCTTTGAATTCTGTTTAGTTAAGCGCATAATCATATTTTTTTTAAATTCACAAAGTTTCAAGCTCTGTTTTATTTTGGCATTTCTTTGAAAATATTTGTATAGTTGTAACCATAACAGTGCCTATATAATACGTTAGTTCCTCCGTGTTATGTACATTGTATGTGGTGTTGACCAGGAAAACATTGATTATCTATGTACTACAAAAAAAGGCAAAGTATCTTGTCTATGGCGAATGTCATGTCGTCGTAACAACAACCCTGACATTGTATATATGACTGTCTGTTTGTCAATAAATCTGACATTGTGTCTATGGCTGTCTGTTTGTCAATAAATCTGACATTGTATCTATGGCTGGCTGTTCGTCAATAAATATGACATTGTATCTATGGCTGTCTGTTTGCCAATAAATCTGACATTGTATCTATGGCTGTCCGTTTGTCAATAAATCTGACATTGTATCTATGGCGGTCTGTTTGTCAATAAATATGACATTGTATCTATGGCTGTCTGTTTGCCAATAAATCTGACATTGTATCTATGGCTGTCTGTTTGTCAATAAATATGACATTGTATCTATGGCTGTCTGTTTGCCAATAAATCTGACATTGTATCTATTGCTGTCTGTTTATCAATAAATCTGACATTGTATCTATGTCTGTCTGTTTGTCTTTTGCAAAATATTTCAGGTGATATATCCAATGTTGTGTCTGTGGTGAAATGATAGTGTTGCATATAACAACAGTAGAACATGTGTTCCAACAGTAATACATGTGTTCCAACAGTAAAACATGTGTTCCAACAGTAGCTTCTCGTACAATAAAATGGAGATGCCAGAAACTCATTGAAAATGTTAAATCATTAATTTCCCCCAAATCGAACGGATGTATGATTCATTAAAACAGGTAATGGTGTGACGCAGTATTTGTACCATTTGTATAAACAATGTGGTTACTTTACAGTAAACAATATCTTTTTTTTATATTATGTACATTTTTAGGTCACCTGAGCTTTGCTCAAGTGACCTATTCCAATCGCTTTTCGTCCGTCGTCGTCCGTCGTCCGTCGTGCGTCGTGCGTCGTGCGTAAACTTTTACATTTTCAACTTCTTCTCAAGAACCAGTGGATAGATTTTTTTCAAACTTGGTCAGAATCATCCTTGGTAGATGAGGCTTCAAAATTGTAAAATTGGGATTCCTACCCCAACCCCTGGGGCCAGGGCGGGGCCCCAAAGGGAAAATTATCCAATATTTCAAAAATCTTCTTCTCCAGACTCAGAGGTACTACAGTGATTTTCTTTACGTGGAAAGAAAGATCATCAGGGGCTTTATTTAAATTGAAAATATCAGGACCCCGAGCTATCCGTTCTCCCTTGGGGAGGGGTTAACGTTTAATATAGTTTATATAGGGAAATAACACTTTTCGGTATATATTTTATCCATTTTCAGCAGAAAATTGCTCAAACTTAGTCAGAATCATCTTGGGTAAATGAGAGTTTTACTTTGTAAAATTAGGATTCCTGCCCCATCCCCAGGGGCTAGGGCGGGGCCCCAAAGGGAACATTTACCAATATTTTCAAATTCTTATCCATTGATGACATGACAAGTATTGTATTTCACTTAGTTTACATGCTGATTTCCACATCACATCTAAAAAATAAAATAAAGCTACCAGTACCTATGATATAACTCAGGTGACCGCTAAGGCACTTGGGCCTCTTGTTCCTAATGTCACCCCCAGAACTATGCTATGGTTCGATAAATTCTGACCAGTCTTTTAACATTTCATCTAAAAACTTAACGTCATTTGTTTAGTCAAAATTAAAGGATAAAGGTCAGTCAACCATGACTTGATAACAAATAACTCGAGGAAGCTGTGATCAGCAAAATCTGGCATTGTTAACATTGTACTTTTGACAATGATTCACATTTCCAAGTATTTCCTACTACGCAAGTACAGGTAAAACGGTGAAAACCGTGTCAACTATCACGTGTCTGTTTCTAACCTAAACGAACATGTGATAAGATCAATATTCAAAGCAAATTTACAGGCGTAAGAAATATGATTGATGATACATGTAGTAATAGAATAATACATATATAGGAGCTTAACGAAGATTAAGGCGTTGAACTAAATTGAATATGCAAATAATCAGATTGACATCGATCAGTAAGACATTGTATTAATTAATTTATTGATGTGGCCATAGACATGTTTCAGGAAGTCTTAAAACTCAATGTTTAAATCCACTTTCCTGTCATCACATTCATGTATCTTGGTAATATCCTTGTGTGTATGGAATACATTTTTATCCTCAATCAGAAAATACAGTAAATTTCACACATAAATTAATAAGCAAACGAGCACTATAATCACTAGAAATACATAGAACTAAAGCTGTGGGAAGCTACACTAAGTAAACATTTTACTGAACCATATGACCATTTCGTCCATTTCAGACTCATCAACGAATCAAGTCTTAACTGTGTCGAAAAGGCAAACAATACAAAATGTATTTAAAACGCTTTATAACGTTAAAATATACAATGATTTGCTACGACAAAACAATTCAAACATAATCTAGTATTCCATGTAAGCACTGCTAAAATAAAATATTCTATGACATGGGTTTAGTAGAATATGTTTCAGGTGGTGTATTTTCATTTCGCTTTCCGCCAATCCGACATCAAACTGCCTTTTCACGCTTTTTCAGATGTCCTGGCACAGATGTTTGATTTGATTGTCCCAATAGCGTTTGGTGAAGAAAACTAAGAACTCTCACAACTACATTGTGGAGGGCGTAGTAGTCTGATGGTTAACAGTCATATATGTTTTTCAATAAAAATGCTTTAATCATCCATGATGATATTCTTAATGGTGCAAAATATGTCATTTCAAAACTGGGAATTGAATGTTAAGGACGATTAAGATTGAAGATAAGCAGAATAATGTTATTGTAATTTGAATATTTTTCGTATTTATGTTAATTAATGAATAAATGAATACATTATTTAATGATGGAAAAGAAACGAATGGATTTTTGATGGATTTTGTTTGTGTTGTAAACAAAATCTAGGTAAGCGTTTAAAAGATAAAATAAAAAGGCAGACATTCTTCAAATTTATTTCAGGTCCATGAATATCCATAAATGGTTTTATTCCATTTGATAGCTTTGACAAAGAACACCTGTTTAGGGTTGTCTGATTCTTTGATGACCGTGCACAATAAACACATACTAAAACAGCGTTGTTCAAATCGATTCATTTGCATGTCTTAACAGACATAAGCTATAAGTTTAACCAAATTTAAATATAAACATTGAAATTGTGAATGGCAGACTGTCCGTGAGTTTCGGATATATCTTTTTAATGACCTATTGATAGCGATGACTATCGTCAGACATTTGAGTACAAGGCCGTTGAAATTATATAAAATAAAAACCTTTATGAAACAATTAATTATTACTTATATTGAGCATTCATTTTGGCACGGATGTAGGCGCGTGGAGGGGTTAATGCGGAAGGAAACCGCAGTATCCGGAGAAAACCGACGTGACGGGCAGGTTGCCCAATACTTTTCATATCCGATAGGAGAATCGAATCCAAGCCGTCGTGGAGAATGGCGAGTGCGTTATCAACTGCGCCACCCCACCACACGTTGATATGATACGTTTAGTTGTTGTTGATGACTAAACATTTGGTTGAGTTGGGTTGCATTGTTAATTTTTGAAGACATGGATTTTGGGAGTATTTTTATGTTGCATCGCTCTAGCGTAACTGTTATAGTTCTAGCACCATGATTGATTGATTTATTTGATTATAATTATGTTGCTGGGAGTGTTTACATTTTACAGTTTTTTTTATACCAAATGTAATCCGTACTGTATACTGTTACTCACCCCCCCCCCCCCCCCCCCCCCCCCCCCCCAACACACACACAAACGGAGGTGGCTGCATCTTTAACAATTGGTAATAGATACAGTTTACCAGATATGAATTACATCATAAAGCTGTTTCGTTCTTCTAGGACTCGTCGCTGATGCAAAATAATTTTCCTCTCCAGCTGATCACCAGATTGGTTCTCTGTTTCATGGTTGTAGCTAAGTTGCATATGTTCTCCTGTCATGACGTCAACTTTCAGCAATAGTGATTTACGCTTCAGATTCTTTGGTTTTCATGAGGGTAGGGAAGGGGAAGCAAAACGTTATTTCGATGATTGTTTTTACTGTTTTCAACTACATAATATTTGAATAATTTTCTTCGTTTTATTTACGTTTTAGAACTTTGACAGCCCATTTTATCTGCTGTTTTATTCGAAAAGAATCTTTTCTTATTTATCAGATCTGTCAAACGTCTTTTTTCAAATTTTGAAAAACCGTGATGTTCCTAGTTTCTATTGTTTTGAATAGACATGACCTTGAGCAAAACTAATATGGTATAAAATAAAGATGAAGTTTTGCGTTTTTATCCAATTAAATAAATATGACTAGAAGCCATTTTGTTCTACAATGGCGTCAATTACTGAAAGACTACATTGTATATACGTACATGGACGATGAATTAATTCATTTTCAAACAAATCTTTAATATTCTTTAATAATACCCTCCATACCCTTTTATGAATATATTTTAATCAAATAAACACACATTTTGGGATTGTGCAAACGTAAGCTTCATTTGTTTTACAAAAAATATAAAACAAGTCGTTTCAACTGTTATGAATTAACTCTTATTGGCCATGATGGAAGCATGCATATGAACTTAATGTGTAAGTAAACTGGAGTACTTGGAGAAACCCCATGTAGTTAGGCAGGTGACCCAAAATATTATTCACGTCCGATCGGGGAATCGAACCGCTTCCATCTTGGTGGAAGGGGAGTGTCCTATCCTCTGAGCAACCCGATCACCCTATTGAAAAACTACGAAACATGATACATTGTTGTTTTTTTTTTTATCAAATATGTCTTCAAATAACAGAAAACAAAGTTTGATTTATCAACAAATAATTTTATTGTTCCTTTGTTTATAAATGTACAATATTTCGAAAATAATGCTAAAAGCTTATCATTGCTGAAAAGCATAAGGCATACCATGAACGTTCCCGCTTACCCTAGCCATTGTAAAAAAGAGCATTGTGATATTTGTATAAGGAATGCGTTTTAAATCTAAAACCTTTACACCAAACTTCTATACTGTACCATTCCACTGTCACATGATATAGAGATTGAGACATGTTGCGACAAAGATCTAACTAACATCTATTTCGACGTCGTCGCTGTATTCGGGGATAGCAAGTATATAAACATATTTGGTCGCATCTATTTGGTTATCATGAAAAATTCTCTGAAATGTAGTTCAGATCAGAACATATCGGGTATGCTACAATCATCCACACATCATCCTACTGTGTTCTGTTTATTGTACTTCCTTTTTGCTCTCAAAGCTTTTAATTTAGCTTTTAGTTCGGCCTTCCGTTTGGCTTTACTCTTACTAGATTTTTTAGATTTGCTCTTAGACTTCTTTTTATATTTCTTGACAAGTGGATCTCTTGGGCCTAATGATTTCTTCGTTGGTTTCTTTACGTAAGGCACATTAACGTATGGTTTCTTTACGTATGGCACCTTTGGTGCAATCCCCACACGGGAAGATCCCGCCGATGCCGCTCTAACTGATGAAGGTGGTATGAAGGAAGGGATACCTCGTGGTGTTTGTCTAGCGGTTGAGCTCCTTATTGTTTGTGTCGCAATCCTGGTCCTCACTGGGCGGCTTGTAGTGCGATGTCTGCTCACTTGTGTGGGAATAGAAATGGTTGGTCTCCTGCGTTGGTTTATCATTGATCCTCTGCGTGTTTGTACGTAATGCGTTGTCGGCTGTCGGACTATTCTGGGTCGGTAGCTACGGTTTATAAGGCTATAGGTCGACGCAGTTGGAACTGATGTATAGCTTATTCTACTCCTTATCGTCGGTCTTCTCGAACTAACGGTATAAACGTTTGGAGTTTGCCGATATCCTACCATTGATCGGCCGACGACATATGCAGGTCGCACAACGTGTGGTCGGTAAGATGAGCCCCCATGGCTAGAGGCAGAAGAAGTCGAAAGGTAGGTTTTACCACCGGAGGGGTAGCTTGTCCCTGCAGCGAATTGCAATCTTGAAAGTGCCGTGGGCAAATTGTACGGAATATTCGGTATCAAAACAAGCGGGCATACATCTGCAAAACACGAAAACAAATTCAACAGGTAGCGAATGATTAAGTTATATGTATCAAAGAGTAAAGTCTTGGGTGATGTTTTATAGGTTAATATTTTGTAATTGTAAGGAGTTCATCTGGTAACTCCGATTACCTCCAGTGTATGTATGCTGAAACAAAGGTTAATTTTGTGACCTTTTATAATGAATGTAACACGAAATTGTTTCTTTAGTAGTAGGTAAATTCAAAAGAGCTTGAAGTTCTTTAATTTTTGCTTAAAGATAATGTGTTAAAGTATCTTTTCATATTGCCTTTGCATAATGGCACATAGTTGATTAAGATCGATAATTCAAAAATTTATTAGCACCATCTTCAAAACATCCTCCATATGTTGTGTAAAGTTTAATTTTTCTTTTTTATCAATGATTAGTAAAATTTTGAATTAATTTTGTTTGGAAATTTATCGTGGCCCTTTAAAAAAATATATTTTTAGACATACGAATAAATCATCAAATCCATCAAATTAATGATATGTCTGTTATCACTGTTATCAGGCTGTCGTGAATGTGTGCTAGAAGAAAGCGTCGATAAGTTCTAACTTGCGCTTAATCCCACATTGATATGTTTAAGATTAACTTAAATACAGGTTTATGCACCCTGTTTTATTTCAAGTTAAAAGATAATGTATTACTTAGTCGATTGGTCAGTGAGATTGAGGCTGATTCTAATATGTAGCTTGGAAATCGTCTGTTATATGGTTTTGAAGCATCAAGCTGCCTTTATATCACAAAAACATACACAGATTCGCAGCAGCAAAACTATGAAAGAACGTATACTGGAAGAGGTGTTTTTTCAGGGTATCCGTTTTATTAGAAAAAGGTGATGCCAATTGACGGATGAATTCGAGGATACACTCTCTTAATGATATTTCACGGGTTTTTAGATACTATAATGTTCACGTTATTTAACGAGAGTCTAAAGCGATTTCTAGGTTAATGTCTATCAATCATTTTCCACGATTTATCTAATAAAGTTTTTGCATTATTTCGCGGAGTTCATCGGGAATGTAAAATGTTGGAGAATGCTGATGATACCGACACAACTATCTAATGGTCATTCATCGGTTATTGCTCTTCTGCTGAATTCACATCTTCATGAATATGTCATCATCCCACGCACTAAGTACCTTTCCAACGTAAGGGTAACACTGGTAAAATGTCATTTATTTTGTTAATTTTCATTTCATTAACAATAATTTGTCCCTATGCTTCCTCCTGCTACAAGGCATAGTAATAATAAATAAATGAGAAAGCCGTATTTATTAAATTAAAAAATATTTTGTTTTATGTATTTTAAGTCATTTTTACGGTTTCATATCATTAAAATCTGTTATTTTGTGTATGTAATGTCCTATCTTTGTTAAGAACCTGAAATCTCTTTTAAATTTTAAGATGTGCTTTCCTCTCCTGCTGGATAGATCTTATAGAATCTTATAAATATTTTAAGAAGAAATTTTATATTTATCTTTTTTAATTTTCTAAACAAATATATTCTTCTTCTTCATAAAAGAGTAAAATAGAAATGAGGACAACTTCCGAATTCTAAACTGTATTAAACTCGCTACAAACATAATTGTATCATAGTTCAACATTATTTCTAAAGTGTTAATATTTCACACACAAGGCATACCGAGGTGAAACGTCAAGTATTTTAACTTAATGAGATACAGTCTAGGTTAATGAATATAAATCGATAAATGTACTGCATATGTATTACCACGCTAAAGCATGGCCTGATCAGCATTATAGTTACATTATTATTTTTAAAACAATGGTTTTAAAATATGGTATAAAATAACTAAAAGGTTATATTATTTAAGTAACTTATTCTAAGCACGGCCTAGATTTCTTGCGGATGTTAAATATTACACAACTAACCCCTGCACTGTTTTGATGTTGCAATATTTTCGTCGTTTCATTTTTTCAATAAATAAAAAAAATAATGCTTTTACCGTTAAATCCTTATTTATTTCACTTATATAACACAATATACCGATATTATTACGCATGATTGCAGAACTCCTGCAATATGTATGCCATTTAACGGGAATCCATTTTATATTTTCTTTATATCTTCTATGATACTCAAAGCAGGCGATGTTTTAAACCAGGAAACTTTCAGAGTGAAACGTATTTTTAGCAAGAACGAAGTTCACGTCTGCATTATAATACAAAACAATCTGAGATCAAAGTCAATACTTATCAGATACATGCTTTGACATCGATTGCATAGTTACGATAGTAAGTGAGATACTTACGATGCAATAGGCATGCTAAGAGTCCCACAACTCCTACGACACTATGCTTGAACCTTCCCATGGTGAGGAAGTGGTGTCAGTGTGGCAAACAAACCCCCGAGTGTAGTTTTATAGCCTATCTGTTGCGGTGGTTATTAATTGCAAAAAAGGCTGTGTATTTCTAAATGACTGTACATGTTTGATAGAAGCTGTATATCAATTCATTAGGGGTTAATAAATGTAGTAGTTTGACACATAAATCACCACGATATGTTATTATAATGTATTCCCATCTATTGATTACCATAATGAAACAATTAAAATCCCGAGCATCTGACAATCGACTCTTAATTAGATACTTGTCTATGTCTACCCACAGTATGACGTCACGTCACGATCAGTGCCATATATTATAACATTGAGATACTGGTTCATCACGTGCATTGTATCCACGTGCAATTATATTTCATCATATTTAAATACTAAAATACGTTTTCCATAGAACATGTTACCTTTTTACTTCCAGTGATACATATTTAATATATGACCGATATTAGGACCCTGAATATTTAATATGCAACAAAAAATGCATCCAATTGTTTCTGTTGTTGGATATGAATATCTACACGGAGAATATCGTGGTAAGTATGTTTTTTGATATAATTACAATAAGTTTATATAATAATACATTTTTTTGTGTGAATGACCCTAGCGACTAAACAACGACTGGTCTGAGTACATCTTGACTAAATTTGATGAAAATACCACATGGGCTTTGTGAACAATGTTTACTTGCCGAAATATTCACAATTGAAGTTCCAATTTAATCCGGCTTGCTACTTCCAGTCGCCGTTTTGTAAACAGGGTCTAATCTCGAGCTGATGCGCGTTTGAAAGAGTTTGAAGTATTGCAAAGCTTCTAAACGATCATGCCCAGAACATACTCTCTAAGTATGATGTTTTTGATAAATTTACTATCAAGTATTCACTATATTTCCTTTGTGTATCACTTTCATTAATTCATAAAAGAACAAATTGATTTTTTCCCCTTCAAACTTTTTTCTTTCAAATGTTAAAACACATTTTGTTTTGAAAAAATGTTCTAGTTTCGAGATTTTGATCAAACGTCGTCTGCTTCGCAAACATTCAAGAAAAAAATATTTACAATGTATTGATATTGTTTTATTAACTGGTTTATTCTTTAAACTATCTTTAATCAATAAATATCAAAAACATTCTGCATTTTATGACGTAACCGGAAGCGCACTTGATACGAGAACGAGACCCGGAAATACCTCACAACATAATCAGGACAGTAATAATCAACAGACGTTTATCGAACATTAACAGATTAATACCGTATGTATTGAGACACTGATGTGCTAGAATACAACACAAGGTAACACTCGTTTTCTCCATTACTATCACATCAAGTACTAACTTACTTTTATACGAAAATATCAGCATTAAATGTTTGCGATCGCGCAGACCTACTTTCGTTTTACAGTTAACATACTGTTGTACATGTCGGCATCAACAGTATAGGACCTTAAATTGTGTCCTTCATCGTGATGAAGATTACACATAGGCGCATTCGAGGAAAAGTTCGTGATTAAAAGCTTGTGTGTGTAGGTTTTTTTATCTTAAAATTATCGGATAAAAGCATATAGTGGCATGTTACTTCAAAATACAAGATACAAGAATCATTAGTTTACGTTGAATATATGTCATAGTTAACATAAGCTCTCAGGAGCTTGTTTTTCGACAAACATATATATATATATATATAAATGATAAAACATTGTAACAGTGTAAGGCAAACAACAGATTTAAGTTAAAGCGTCGTTATCCAAAAAGAAGAACAGTAAGAGGCTAAATAGTCATTCTGTACAAAATTTGGTACTAAAACAACTTACTTAAAAACCAGTCCAGACGGCAGGTGATTGGGACATAGCATTTATTTGTAACCAGGAGCACGAGTTTGGTAGCCGTTGATATTAAAAAGACGTTTTATGTATTGATGCTGCTCGTGACGCCAGTGATGTATTTTTCGCTTACAAGTTAAAGCGTCGTTATCCAAAAAGAAGAACAGTACAAATTGAAAAGTGTGAATTGCCTACAGCTCCTGTCAAAAATCAAAAACATTCCTCCCATGGTCTTTCTCGTCACCTGGACGTTTGTAAGTTAGAACAGCTAGTCTCGCAGACGCTTAAACTATGTACACAATATATATACAGTTATACCACAGTATTGTAATTGTCTCGGTATGGCCACGAATGCGTTCCAGGTAAGATAATAGAGCATCAAATGTATTAAATTCAAATAATGCACCACTTCACGACAATCATGGATTCATATGGGTACAATGTTATTAAAATAACATTCATACAGTGCATGCAAGCTGAAATTAACAAATCATTTGTTTAAAAGGCATTTGCTAGATGCATGCATCAGGTGAGTTTGTGCATAATTAATTTGTGTTTTGGGAGTCTGTGGTTTGTTCAGGTTTGTCTCCTTGTGATAGCGCAGGACTGATGCTGACTTTATAGTGTAATTTCACTGGAGCATACTGCTGAAGACACATCTTATTTTACGATCGAACCTCGTTATCTCACCATCTTCAATAGACAAGGGTTCATAATTTAAATTTGTACTATCGGTATTCAACCTTGGCAGATTTAGCCTTGTGTTTAATTTCCCTTGATCCCCTGCCACCTTGCATAGACACTTTACTAGCAAAACTTTAAACTTTCAAGATTATTTCAGCACTGGTCGTCTATGTATTTCCCTTGGTTATCATTTACAGTTAGAATATGGCCAATTATCTCTACCAACTGATCAAATACAGAAAATGTTTCAGTATTGTCCTCCTTTGTGTTTTTTTTACATAAATCATGACATAGTCGACAAGGCAACTTGGTACTGGGCGACGCCATTATTATTAACATGCACAGGGACTTGGTATCAATTTCTAATCCTCAGTTCACATATGTGTATTATATAATGTATGATATAAAAAAATATATGTTGACCATAGGATGGTAATTCGTGCCAAGTCCCTGTGCCAGGTTCAACAATTTGAAAGCTTAGAGAACAAGGCTAAATCCGCTAAGGTTGAATACATGAATATGTTAATACAAATGAACGCTTGGCTAGCAAAGATGAGATGTTATAGGCTGGACAGATAATGACAACAAAAACAGGCTGAAAACATGTATGGAATGTGTTTTATTAAGAGAGGCTGTATAAACACATTATGAATATGTAAAATCATGATGGAAGTCCATTTTACCCGAATTACCTGATGTTATTTTCAATACCTTCAGTTCATCTATATTTCCACACTGTTCTCTGTATAAGGGATAGGAATCAGTTTTTTTTTTTTTTTTTTTATAAATCCTTGCAACCGCTTTTAAGTCATATGTATAAGAAAGATCTGCCAAATATCTGATTCCTTGACAGCTTAACTACAAATATAAAGCAGGAATTGAACTTTCTATATCAACTGCACTACACTTCATATCATTTGTTGACATTTTTCTGCTACAATACATGGAGTTTCCTTACAAGATGCTGATAACCGAAAAGAGTCTGAAACCTTAATCTTATCTTTTAGAATACTGTGTTTAAAAAAAATGTTATACATGTATCTCTTCGATCCACTAAACATCAACAAACAACATTTAAACCCTTCATTCTCTAAATCTGTTATTAAAAGGATTGTAAAAAATATATATATGTGTTCGCTTAAATGTTAAAATATTTCTGTTCCACATTCATATTTACAGTGGTGTCCTATACCTCTTATTCTGGCAGTTTATCATTCATATTTTTATTTTTCCATTTCTTATGCACTTCATATACATCTGATGAGAATGGGAGATATCTAGAAATGCACAAAATTCGCCAAGAAAGCTGAAAGTTACAAAAGGCCAAAAGGTGAAACTTTACACAATGCAGGCCAGGTATGAACATTTTACTGTAATGCTTGTTTTACTTTCCGTGTGGGGAGGATTTTTAATGCATCTCGACTGTTATATCAATCAATTAATTTTCATTTAGATGGTGTCCCTGAGAATTATTTCTTAAATAATTTAAAATTTGTTTCAAGTAATACTCATACTCTCTGTTTTAAACTAGGAACACTTGCTATGTACTCTAAGTATTTGTGCAGTTATGATTGATTGTCTTCCTTTGGATGGATAATATTTCTGTGAGTTGTGTCCCTCACATGATTTCCTCACATTCCTTTCTGTTATATATCGGATATAGTTTGTTACTTCTATAAGTTCAAAGTTTCCTTTTAGATAAAATATGTCATGTTTAGGTGATTTTTGAGAATTGGTGGTTTTGCGAAATTTGCTTATTGTTTTGCAAGGTACCAATATTTTTATGTTTATAACATATATAGGGTGCTCCCATAGCTACCACTTTCTTTAAAATGTAGATTGGACTTTTTTTTTGCTACCACTTGCAACATCAATTTGTTACCTAATATGTGGCTTTGTCATAATGGATTACAGTTTCAGTTCAAACCCTGTGTTAATATTCCTTTTTTTGCTGGAGTTATTGCCCTTCGCACATAGGAAATTATCAAAATAAACTTTTTGTTGGACTTATTTCGCTACCGCTTGCCATATCAATTTGAAACTTTGTTTGTGGCTCTATCATAATAGATAACAGAGTTTGAACCATGTATTAAAATTCCATTTTTGACAGGAGTTATGGCCCTTTTGCATATAGGAAATTCTCATAATTAACTGTTTTCCATATTATTTGCAACTTAGTATACATGTATAATGTAATACAGTTTGAGTTAGAACCCAGTGTCCATGTTCTATTTTTCTGGAGTTATAGCCCTTTGAACATCTTTAGTAATCAGATTTTACGTCTGTCTGTCCTTCTATGTGTTTTTAGCTCACCTGCCAAGGACAAGTGAGCTTTTGCCCTGGTGCGGCATTCGGCGTCCCGTCTCGTCGCGTCGCATCCTGATTCAATGTAAGCACTTAGCAACTTCATTCATTGACAGATTTTGGTCAAACTTTATACAAAGGTCAAGTACGAGTATACTTCATAAATCGTTGTATTTCAGGGATCCAAAGTCAAGGTCAATGTCACACTTGCTACATAT